AGGAGAGAAGCAACTTAGAACTGAGGAGAATTTTCCTGATAGTTAGAACAATTAATCAGTGGAACAGCTTCTCTCCAGAAGTTGTGAACGTCCCAACACTGGAAGTCTTTAAGAAGATGTTGGATAGCCATTTGTCTGAAATGGTATAGGATTTCCTGCCTAGGCAGGGGGATGGACTAGAAGACCTCCAAGGTCCCTTCCAACTCTGCTATTGTATTGTATTTAATAGAGCTCTTAAGATCAGATGACTTACATAGCCAATACTGGCAGAAATAATCAGGAAACTTCACACCAAAAGGTTACCTATTCAGTATTATCTGCCTACATACTATAGAAATCTTTCTTTTGCCTATTTTACTTTGTTTTCCTTTCCTTCAAGGTATTGGAGGAAAGGTATAACAGTGTTTGCAGAACACACCTGCCCTTCTGCCATGGAGAAACCTAATATTCCAGCCCACATCTCTTTCAGTATTCTTTCTGCAGCAATACAGATAGTCATTTCCTTTTTAACAACCATTCATTCAGCAACCATTTAGTTTTTATGGCGCTGAATGAGTGAGGGTCATAAGTGGTTGTCAATGTTGTGGATGTCCCAATATTCATATGATCACACAATCAAATCCAGGCGTTTGTCAACCATCTTAAACTTATGACAGTTGCAGTATCATGATCTCCATTTTCATTTGCTGGCTTCCCTAAGCAAAGCCCTTGAAGAGCATTCGGCTTGTCCAGAATGCAGCCGCGCGAGCGATCGTGGGTGCACCTCGGTACACCCACGTTACACCTATCCTCCGCAAGCTGCACTAGCTGCCTATTGGTCTTCGGATACGCTTCAAGGTGCTAGTCGTCACTTATAAAGCCCTTCATGGTATTGGACCTGGGTACTTGAGAGACCGCCTGCTGCCAATTACCTCCAACAGACCGATTAGATCCCACAGATTAGGCCTCCTCCGAATTCCATCTACTGGCGAATGCCGATTGGCTACCACCCGGAGGAGGGCCTTCTCTATGGCTGCTCCTGCCCTCTGGAACGAGCTCCCCATGGAGATTCGGACCCTCACCACCCTCCACCCTTTCCGCAAAGCCTTAAAAACCTGGCTGTTCCGACAGGCCTGGGGCTAATGAGTTCCTGTCCCCGCTCGAATGGTGTGGCTGTTGATTGTTTTTAAAATTGTGGTGGTGTGTTGTTCATTGTCTTTCTTTTTTTTCCTGTTTGTTCCCCCCCCCCTCCCGACTTGGTTTGTGAGCCGCCCTGAGTCCCTCTGGGAATAGGGCGGCATAGAAATACAATAAAATCGAAAATCGAAAAAAGAAAGCTGGCAGGGAAGGTTGCAAGTCACTCCTGTAACTCACTGTCACTCCTACCATCTTTTCTTCTGAACCCAGCTACAGAGTTCAAGATTCTGGGGATTTCATATTCTGTAGTGCCAATATGCAGTTATTTCCCACCCAACCACCCCCGGTACTTCTACCTAGCTGGCTATGCTCACACCATGGCAGCCACATGGTGGCGTGCCCTTCCACCTCTGCAAAAGGCATCAGCACTTACATCATATTTCAACATCTACAGCTTGAATTGACCCCAGTCCACAGCACTTACCTGCCACTGGCCTGCTTGCAAACTGCCCGAGAATTGCAACTTCCTGCCAACTTTCTCGTCGTCTTTGCTTGTTGGAAGCCAACAAGTAGTTGCCAGGAGATCCTTCCTTAATGACTTGTGATTCTGGTTTAACAAGGGACTATTGGGATTGCTATTGCTAGGTGATATAAGGCCACAACATACAGGTAGTCCTCGATCTACAACAGTTCATTTAGTAACTGTTTGAACTTACAGCTGCACTCAAAAATGATTTATAATCATTTTTCACACTTATGACCATTGTTGCATCACCATGATCAAAATTCAGACAGTTGTCAACTGACAGTCACAATGCCCTAGGCTGTGATTATCTTTTGTGACCTTCTGACAAGCAAAGTCAATGGGGAAGCCAGATTCACTTTACAATTATGTTACTAACTTAACAACTGCTGTGATTCACTTAACAACTGTGTCATGAAAGTTCATAAAATGGGGCAAAACTCACTTAACAAATGTCTCACATAAATTTTGGGCTCAATTGTCATAAAATGAGTACTACCTGTAGTGTTTTACAATTGCATTGCTAAGCAATGAAAATTCTGGCCCAATGATTGTTGGTAAGTGAAGTCTACTTGTATGCATCCTATTCTTATAGATGTGTTTATTTAAAATCTGTGAATGATTTTTGTTTGCTTTTGACTATATGACTATGACTGTATGACTATAAACATAAATCTTTAAAAGAATTGCATAATATTTTCAGCTGCCATTTATTTACACATTTATTTACTTTTAGGATTATATAAATAAACAAGATTTTCTTAATCTTGTTTGGTTTTTTATCTCTTAATGTTACATTGACACCAAAGAAGTATCTATTTGTGTGTGCATGTGTGTATTAAATACATTGGCACAAAATGATACACACATACTCATTTAGAAGTTCTGTAATTTGGTATTAAAGTAGGCTTTCCTCTCTTATCTATTTCTGGTAAGAAATTCTATTTTCTTACCATTCAGATTGAAATTAATTACTGGGGCCGGTATTTTTTTATCACTTTAATTGGCACCTTTACTGCTTGGCATTAATAATAAAAATCGGACAAAATGATCCTGTTGGTCAATATTAAGCCTTAATTAATGGCAAATGGCAAATACCTAATGGCAAATACCTTCTACAAAGGTAGAAAAGAGAAATGACAAAAGACAGCTGCTTGAATCATTCTATTATTTTCTGCTTTAAAAAAAAAGAGGGATTATATTTTGACCAGATTTCAACCCAAGTTATTTTTAGTTTAGTTTTTATTTCCTATCTTGTTTTTATTTTGATCTTTATGCTTAATTTTTAAACCCTATCTGGAGCGTGGCAATTCAATAGAGACCACATGTTTTGTTTACATAAAGTTGCAGGTTCACTGCTTTATGTTATGCCCTGGCTATAGAAGGGAAGGGAAAAATATAATAAAAAAAGAATAGAAAATGAACAGAATAGATTAGAAACTGGAAAGGATCTTGGGGGTCTTCTAGTCCAACCCCCTGCTCAAGCAGGAAAACCTATATCATTTCAGACAGTCTTTTTGAAAACCTCTAATGATGAAGCACCCACAACTGCTGAAGGCAAGCTGTCCCACTGGTTAATTTTCTAACTGTTAGGGCCTTTCTCCTTAATTCCAGGCTGATTCTTTCCTTGATTAGTTGCCATCCATTGTTTCCTTCTAAGACTTTGCAGAGTTATAGTATACCTGGTGTGTGTGTGTGTGTGTGTGTGTGTGTGTGTGTGTGTGTGTGTAAGGGGTTGGACCAGAAGACCTCCAAAGTCCCTTCCAGATTCTATTCTATTCTTATATATCTCAGCATGGCTTCTACGTTCCTTCTGACTTCCATCAACTCATGAATGATGTTATGCCTTTTCTTAACCTGGTCTCTTCCTTTCTTCTCCCCACCCCACCTTTTTTCTAAATGGGGTGGGATGGTGGTAGAATAAACCTGCTTGTTTGACCTTGCTGCTTAGCAGCATGCTTCTTCTATACTATGGCAACTGAGAACTGTTATTTCTCAGTAAAAAGATTACTTTTATAAACTTTTGAATTACAAATTTTTATAGAGAAGTGTTTTCTTAGCCTTTGGATTCTGAGTTGTTCTATATATCCCAAACTGTAATAATATAGGTTCTGGCATTCTTTGAAAGAAATAAAAAACAAAGTTTCAGAGCTATATATCACAAGCAGATGTTTAATCAAGATATCTAAGTAAGATGGTGGTGTTTTATTTTCCCCAAACGTCCTCTCATACAGAATTTTGGAATGACACATAGCTACTCGACATTTGACTTTGGAGGTTAATTTTTTTTGTTTCCATATCTGCCTTTCCAACCAGAATTTGAAGCTGCTGTATTGGCAGTTCTAGAGTTGCTCTCGTGGCTCTATAAAGTTGTTTGGATTAGAAATGTTTCTTTGCTAAACATGAATTTCCCTTTCCTATGTAACATATTTGCTAGATTTTGTCATGCTGTGAGGTGGTTTCCAATGAGTTGATCTGTTAAAAATGCTTTGTTATTCATGCCTGGCTCAGGATTAATAATTCTTCAAGAACTGGTATGAGTCTTGCAAAATTGCCAATTTAATACAAGAGGTTTTTTAACTGCAGAATTTAGGGAGTTTCCTCAAATTAACCCTGAGTTTGTGTCTATGGTTTCAGTAACCAACATCCATCAATTACAGAAAAATAAAATGATGTTTTATATCTACTAATATCAAATTCTCAGTGTCTGCAATTAGCATTCTGTATTAACCCAAAGTATTGTATTGTTACAGAGAAATATATAAAGCAGGTGACTTTAAAAACAAATCAAAACTTTTAAACATTTTCTTTAGAGGGGTTATAATAAACAATGGGGTTTTTTTCTGCCTTGGTAATCATACTGATTTATTTATTTTTTGGTTGCCATGTGGTAGAAGTTGACTGAAAAGCAGCTTTCTAAAAGTTCAGTATTGAACTCTGGGAACAGGGTGCATTGGATGAGATTCAAAATGTGTGCTTTGGGGCAGTGAGAAATTGAAGAAAGCCAGACCGGTGATCTTAAAAGTATATTTTAATTACTGTGCTAAAAATGTATGTGTTTTCTTTTCTTTTTTTTAGGCCGCTTTTCCGTGGTAACTCTGATGTTGATCAGCTAGGAAAAATCTTTGAGTAAGTTCCAGCTTCTTGCATTTTCTGTCAAGGTCATTTGCCAATTAATTGTTGTTTGTTTGTTTGTTTGTTTGTTTGTTTGTTTGTTTAATACAGTATTCACTCATTTTGTTACACAGGAATCCAGATTATTGATTCTAAACTGATTTACACTATAGGTATTCCAAGATGATTGGATCTGGAATACAATGCATGCAAGTCCCACTGTTAGCAGTGAAATATGATTAGGCAGAAATAATTTCCATTGTTTTCAATATGAACTGCATACAATTAACTCACCCTGGATCTGACCAAGTACATCCTTCAGTGGAGAAAATTAGATCTTCCTTTCTCAAACTTTCTTCAGCAAGACTTTGTATTAAAGTCTGAGTATATGGAGGCCACCAAACTTTACTGCTTCATTTAATTTTTAAAGTACATTCTCTGCCAGCATAGCTGAAGTGTGAATCCTACAAATATTAAAAGTTATGCTTATTCTTAGAGATCCTTCATAATTTCAAAAATGTTTAATGATAATCTTATTGCTTCTACTTCTTCAGTTCTAAATTAATCAATCATCTAGTTATGATTCTATGCTGTACTGCCTGGGGTAGTCATTGGCATTTATTTGTTTCATCTGAGCCAAATAGGAAATCAAGTATTTCTCCTTCTCCCAGTTTGCTATTAGCTCCATCTTTCTTAAGGGTTTTGGGAAGTGAGTGGGAGAAGGCTAAGGGAGCACTTTTTTCTTATCAAAGATCTAATGAAGACAAAAGAAAAGATGTATGATAAAGCTAAGTATCCCATTGCAGATTGGTTCATTTATACAATTTGTTGTATCAAGAAACTCAAATGGAAATCAATTCTATTACAGCATTTAGGTTTTCATCTTTGTATCAATATACATGAAGCAATGCTGTGAATGTGGTAGTATATTAAATTAAGTATTCTGGTTTCTGGTCAAGTAAACGATATGCACGCACAGGTTCACTTTTATGTATGGATTCCCTTATAGGATTAGAGCAAGGTGGCATAAAGAAAAAAGGAGTGGAGGAAAGAAAAATGCCACCTTTATAGTCTTCCTAATTTTGCTTCGCTTTTTGCTGTTCCACATTGAATATATTAAATTCTCAGTGGTGAAAAATCAGCTGGCGCATGCCAGAGCTGACAGTTGGTGCACCACCAAAAATGGCTCTGTGTGCCACCAGAGCATGCGTACCATAGGTTCGCCATCATGGGGCTAGTGGATAGAAAGGCACTAAGCTAGAAAGCATGAGACCATTGAGTTCTCCTTAGGCAGGAGGGTCAGCTGGGAGATTTTGGGCCAGTCACTTTCTCGCAATCCAAAGCACCTTACCGTTTATTTGTGGGAAAAACAGGAAGGTGCCTTGGATATTTTTGCTTGAGTATATTTGTATAAATAACTCAAGCTGTCTTGAATTATTTGTACAAATAATAAAGGTGGTGGGTATAATATACACACATCTACCTATTTCCTAGATATTTTTATTTTGAATTAAATGTTTTCAATTGTTGGCTTTGGCTTCCATTTCCGCACTTTACACCATAGTTTCTGAATCATCAATATGGTTAATTTGTCATGCACTGAATAGTTTTTTCTGTGCAATTTTTAAAAACGCAGGTTCAAGTGGTTTCCTTTTTCAGAATCTGGCAGTTATCCTATAGCTCATTTATGTCTAGCTTTATTACACTTACTCTATTCTTATAATACAAGAAGCAGGACAGTCTTGCTGCTTTGTTTTGTTTTTTGTTAATAAAATGACACATTGTGGTATTTCTGGTCAGTAAATGTCAAGAGCAAGAATAGTAGGAATATACCCTGTTTTGTGTGTTTCTACTTAAAAGCAACTACTTGCATAGAAAAGAATTTATCCATTAATCAGAAAAAGCAAATGCCAATTTGAACATTTCTTATTATATAGATTTCTTGCAGGAAAAAACTCAAATGTTTCCAGCTTTCTAAAGCTTATAGTGATTTTTCTTACTGTTCAAATGTTTCCACAGTCCCCTATACTGATTTTTTGAGTGGAAATGCTAAATATATTTTAAGATGGACTTCATTACAATTTCTGCATATTGAAATATGCTAATCAAAGGAATAATGGTGAATGTTCTTGGATCTAAGGATATTCAGTGTATATAAATTATAAATACACTGTAAAAATCTAACAGCAGTAAATTTTGTATTCAATCTTAAGATTTATTTCATTGATATAAATTTCCTACAATAAAGCTAACTGTAAAAATGAAAGTAGATAGCAATGCTTTCTAGAAAAAATATTATGTGGTACAAAGAAATTTTAGTTTTATAATACTTGTACAACAGTTCCACAAATCTCCTGCTTATCCTGCAGTGTGCCTTCAGCACTGGCAAGAATCAGTGAAACCTCATGTGACTCTTCGATAGTCAAGATTGGCACATTGTCTACCAAAGGACGAATCTTCCACTGGTGTCATTAGTACATCTTTCAGGAAAAAAATAAAATAAACAAATTATTAAAACCTGAGGAAGGCTGCACCCTGGTGGCATAGGTTTTTAATTCCAAATTATCTGACCTAATTTGTGTCTTGTACTATATTAACTGCCATTATAAAGTCTATGTGTTGCATTTAAGAAGAAGTGAAATCAGAACTAAATAGCCAACTTTTCATCTGTTACATGCCATGTTTCTTTTTTAAAAAACTTTTTATAAAGCTTTTGAGTTCTTTAAATTCTCAATTGCAACTTCAAGCAAATTTATAATTGTATGAATGACCACATATATTCCGTTTTCTTTTTTTCCAGTATTACTTTACCATTCCCAATTTTAGATTATATATTTAGACTGTATACAGCATTTCCCTGTTTATATTTTAAGGTGCAGTGTACACTGAATTTTGTTTAATATTGATGGTGTTAACCACATTAATGTGCAGTTATGAGATACTACATGCGTTCCTATTCCAAATCTTCAAACTGATTTTCTAATAAAGAATAATTGAACATTCCAGGGAGGAGTAATTTGGACATGATACTAATAGGTCTTCCTAAACTATTTAAAGGGCATCAGCTCCACTTCGAATCATCTATGCCCATGATGGTAAACTTATGGCACGCATGCCAGAGGTGATACACAGAGCCCTCTCTGGCGGCACATTCACCATCACCAACTGGTATTCCGGTTTCCAGCACATACATTCGCAGTGGCCAGCTGGTCTTCATGCAGCCTGGAGCACTGGAAACCCAAATACCAGCTTTGGGGGGGGGGGTGTTCATGTGTGCGTGCAAGTCACTTGCGCAAATGGTGCTTCCCTCATTCACCTGTGCTTGTGTGACTTGGTTGCCAACAGATTGCAGAATAGTAGTGGTCTGCAGATCGGGGATTGGAGACCTGTGCTCTAAAACCATCTATTTTGTTTACTTTTTAATTGAGGTTTTATCATTTCAGTTGTCATTTTAAAAGAAAGTCTTTAATGTAAGGTGCTTCTACAATTTTATATTGACAGCTCTTAAATAAATGAATGAAAATTCACAATTGAGAACCATCATCAGAGACTGAAACAAACATGGTAAGAATTAATATTTTGTCTGGAATAAGTGCTTGTTCTTATCTTCTCTATAGAGTAATTGGTCTTCCTGAAGAAGAAGATTGGCCTATTGATGTTGCCCTCCCAAGGAATGCTTTTGCTTCTCAATCCCCACAGCCCATTGAACTTCTTGTAACAGATATTGATGAACTGGGCAAAGACTTGCTACTTGTAAGTATCTGTCATAGTAAAATTTTAGAAATAAGCAGCATAACACAGACCAAAAAAGTCAGCAATACACAGTATAATTATCTGTTGCTGAGGTGAGAAAAAATGTGGAAGTCTTCTCCAGCATCAAATAAAAACCAGAAGTGCTTGGGAGATATCAAGAAATATCCTCAAATATAAATTTTGGGAGGAGATAAGAATCTCAAATCTAAAGCCACAACTTCATCTTCACTACACACAATAAATCAAGAACACCCAGCAATCACAAAATTCTTTAAGGGAGACTGTGAAAAAATTACTTATTTTTTTTGTTTTTATTGTTAAACTTTATGCCTCCTGTCTTACTAAAGGCAACTTTAGGCTGTGTTATCCCAAAGGAGTGGGTCTTTAGTCAAGGGTATAGAATAACTGCATTCACCTGCTGGAACCTCCTACGAAATTTTTCTTCCCCTTGATAGCAGCCCATAGTATTTATTAGGGTTTGGAGAATGTGCGACACAATAAAAGATGGTGTTAAATTCTTCTTGAATTAAAAGGTTTAGTTATATTTAAAAATTCATATCAATATCTGAATGTATTCTGTTTGCATTCTTAAAGAATTTGCATCATGATTGACTATAAGCAGACTCCCGGTGTACCATATCAATGCCATATCTTGGGTTGCTATTACCATTGATTTCTGTTAATATAAATGAAATTGTTTGATGATGTCTGCTTTTTCCTAAGTAATATTTTAAAAGAGGATACACTCTATTTGAAATAATTTAACAAGATTTAGATTCTTTATTACTGGCACCATTATTTTACCTCTGTAATTCATTCAACAAGTTTTGTAGGAAAATAGTCCTCTTTTCACAGGTCAAATTAACACATTAACAAAAAAAAAATCTGAGATAGAAGAATTGCAGTACTGAGAAATTAGTATATCAATCAACATAAATTATCAAATTGTGCATTCAAAATGTATTGTAATTTAATAACCTGTGTAATAACTGTTGTGCATTACAATAGTGCATGAAACTAAATATTACCCATAGAGTACATGCATATTAATCATTTAAGAAACTTGTGAGCAAATTAAATATATCCCGTAGAATTGCAGAATATATAACTTTTTCTTGCTGGTATAATAACCCTTAATATTTCGGAACTCATGTGGTTTTGTTAGGGATTTTACTTAGTACCTTTATTAATATTGTTAATGATGCAGTATAGTCATCTTCAAACTGAATTTGACTCCTAATGAGTCTTTCATTTTCCTGATAATAATGTAGGCAGTCTTTGACTTGCCATCACAATTGGGGTTGAAACTTTCATCGCTAGGTTGTGTCCAATTTTGTACTTTTATTGCTCCAGTCATTAAGGGAATCTCATGGTTGTTAAGTGAATCTGGCTTTCCCTATTAATTTTGTCAAAAGCCTCCAGGGAAGATAATAAATGACAATCATGTGAACCCAAGACACTTCTATTGTTGTAAATGCATGCCAGGCGCCTGGATTTTGGTAATGTGATGGTTGTAAGTGTGAGGACTGATCATCACTGTTCTCAGCACGATTGTAATTTCAAACAGTTGTTAAATAAATGATTGTAAATTTAGAATTACTTGTATTCAAACAGTTTACTACTGATTATTCTCCCTATTTATTTATTTTTCCAATCTAATTTAAGAGTCTTTGATTTTCTGTAGGCCACTCTTTCAAATAATACCTGTATTTGATTTTGCAGAGCTTTTTTCCCAATAAGTCAAGGCTAATTACATGCTGCTCCTCTTAAAGCAGTGCTGATGACAATATAGACAAAAACTTTAAATATATCTTTAAAAAGATCATTATCTAATAAATCTGTGTCTTTTCTTGTTAAATCATCATCAGTAGAAAAAGTGAGTTGCTGGATCCATCAGTGTTGCCCTCTATTAATTGTTTTCTCTATCTTATACAGAAATGTCTGACATTCAATCCTATGAAGAGAATATCAGCTTATGATGCCTTGACCCATCCTTATTTTCATGACTTGGAGAAATGCAAAGAGAATACAGATTCTGATGTGTCCTCCAGTCAAAACTCCACAGAGATGAATTCACTGTAAGGCTTTATCAAGCTAACCTAAGGAGAAACAAACTAGTTTGATAAGATCACTGTTAAAGGTAAAAAGCATCATTGTATGTCTGAAAACTTTCTTGAAGACTCCACATAATTATGTAGTTCTTCAAAATGATGCTTTGCCTCTCTAAGGGAAAAAAACACAGTTAGGCATGTCAAAACAATTCAAGATACAAAAACTTTAAATAGATTTCACTGTAGCTTGGTATTTGTTAGTCTATCTCGAAATCTACCAGATGAAGAAGCTGTTGATCAGTTTTGCTGCCTTTTTCTCCTAGCATTGAACGATGCCACCATGGATTAGAAGAATTCAGAGTCTCTGCCAAAATATGACTTGATTTCTGTTTCTGGGTGCTGAAGTTTGACGAGCCCCTTCTCTGGGAGTTATGGTGGTAGTTTGTTTTGCTGTTTATTTCCTTGATCATGAATTCAGAAATATTGTTGAAGTAATATTTAAAAGAGTGACACTGAGCTATTAATCTCTCTACCCTAACGTTAAGAGAAAAATGTAAAAAATACATCTGGCTATTATAATCCACAGGTTCCTTCCCTAATAAGAGATGAGAGATGATAACTTTTACTGTGTCTGTGACTTAATATTCAAATATTAATAATATACATATGGTAAAGGGAACAGCTGGTTTTAAAGAAATTAATTTGTAGCAATCTTTCCTATCATCTAAATTTATGTCAATCACTGCACAACATTTCATCTTTATCTTTTCTGATAGTATATACTTCTATGACTTTGGAAGTTATGAATTTCAGATTTATCATTTTCAGATTCAAGGATGAAATAAGAACAAAAATAAGTGTTCATATATAGTTGTATGTATATATAAACACCTAATTTTGCTTACTCACACATGCACATGTGTACATAAACTAAAATGGCAACCTGAAAAAATCTCCAAAATAAGCCCTGTTAAATTTAGTGAGGCACAACTGTTTATAGAATTGATTATTTGATAAATTGCAAACTATTTCCACTTATGTGAGACTAAACTGCCATTGAATCACATGTGAATTTCTGCACAGCACATTAAAAAAAAATCTGCAGTCTTGTATGGTTTTCTCTTGAGGGTAAATTATTTTGAACAAAATGTGCTTTTATTCAACTGCAGATATATTTAAAGCCTTTGAAATCTCTGGGACAATAGAGTAAAATCCACAGGGATTATAATGGAAGTACTATGCTAAAGTACTGTATGGTGGTGTAAACATGGATCTAATTTACTGAGACTTACTTCTGAATAAACATGCAGTGGATTATGCAATGAGAAACCAGGTGCTCATAGCTGACATTCAAGCCTGTATGTCATTATTGCAATTAACTCAGGCATCAGACCACATAGCCTTCACGTTTGTTTCAAGTTTGCTTCCAATCTGACATTTAATATAATTCAATAGATTTTATTTTTCTATATGAAAATATTAGAAAACCATACTGCTCTACTCTGCTTTGCCTTTCACATTTGCTTTATTTGAAAGCCAATGTTAATGAATAAGTCACATGGATATGTTAGCACAAGTATTTTAAATCTTGCATTAAATGTCTGTATGTTTTAGAGTTTTTGTAAAAAAAAATAGAATTTTAAAAAGAAAAATTATTTTTGTAGTATGATTTGATTAAATCTTCTTAATCCACGTCCCTCATTGTAGCATCTAATATAGCTCCAATGCCAATATATTAATGGCTGCAACAAATCAGAAGATACAGGGGCTATTGGAACCAATCGATGAATTGTATTCTTACCTATTATAATTGTTGCTCTGCTATCTAATCATCTTTTTCTGTTTACTAAGTTGTATCAACTATTTCTTCATACTTTGAATATTAATTCCTGGAATAAGTCAATCTTTTCCTGTATAATATTCATTCATTTTATTTGTAGCCTATATAAGGTGTGAAAAGGTGCATGAGTCCAAAAATTCAGCATTGCTTTTGATTTGTTTTCCTAAGTAGTGTATCTCAATAATTTGTTCTCAGTGGAACATAGGTAAGCTCATGTGACTATCTCTTTGTTATATCCCTTTGTTATATAATGTCCTCTGTCAAGACTAGTCATCCAAATTACTAAACAAAATGCCCTGCTTAGAAGTTTCTCACAGTTTGCGTATCTATTTCAAATAATTTTCCAGAAACTGAAACTCTGCTATGCCAACATTTTGCAATCATCTTGAACTTCTGTAGAGTAACACCATTGGTTACTATTGGTTTTTATTAGTGCAATTCTAACCCAGATTGAATTTAAGAGAGCTTAGTGTTTTATGGAAATATCAATGAAATTATTTCTGACTAAGCAACAGTAGATATACTTTGCAAATATGAGCAGTTCAAGTAGCCTATTATATTTCCAAGTTTTACATTGTGGAGAAGCAGTGAAGCTGACCAGAAGAAATACCGAGGAACAACTTGTTAAAAGGCAGAGCTCCAAATGCTGAAAATCCAATATTGTATTTCTGATGTATAGTTAGAAAGGACAAACCTACCTTGAACCTTGGATAGTTGGTTTAATACAAATAGTATGGACTAGATAAATTAATAGTTGAATATGGTTAAATGTAGTATCCTCTGTTCTTTACGTTTCTACCTTTGCTGATGTATCCTAGTTATTACATCTATATCATATAGTTCTAAGCTGAACATCTAATTGCTTCTATTAGTTTCAAGATATTTTCTTTAGAAATATAAGACTATTTGTTCTGCTATTCATGCTATCAACTATGTGCAATAGAAATTATTCAACTTTATGTGTGTTCATTTAGGTTTGGCGTAGACTTAGCTCAGGGAATACCTGCAGAAGAATCTCTCCTGCCACCATTTCAGTTCCTTGGCTCTTGCCCTAAAACTCAACAGGGGCTTGCAATTTCCAGGAGAATTTTTCACTTTCTCATTTCTGACAGTAATTCCTTAGGATGTGACAGAAGACCCTCTAAGGAGTTTTGAGGTGGGAGTGACTCAAAACCTTGCTGCACATTTGGACCCCACCATACATACAGCTCTTTGGGCTAAAGAGCAATAGATCAGATGCTGAGAAAAAGTATTCCAGCAAAGTTTTCTTGCAGCATGATATGAATCTTTTGTGTATTGTGTGTGTATTGTAACCTGCACCAACTATATGTTCACCAGCATACCATAAAATGTTTGTTTTGTTTATGAGAATTGTTTCAGTTAGCTAGTCTAATTTTTAATAGGATTCTTCGTTCTTGGCCTGAATATACTGTATGCTTGCATAGCAATTCAAAGTTTGCAGTCTAAGATAACATATAATGAGTTCTAGCATCTTTGATTCTATTGCAAGGTTACATTGAAATTTATCTTTAGTATCTTTTACTTTAACCTATTGGACAGCAATATATCTCAAGCTGGTCCTGCTTGCTGTCAACCATTTTCATGACTATCCCTCTTGCTGAACGTTATCTGTTCATGTATGCATTTTGTTACTTGTTTATATAAAATACACATACATTATTCACAGATTACATTGTACAGATTTATTGGCTGCTAGAAATTACAATTACTTTAAATCCAAAAAGATACGATCTCAGGTATCTTTGCACTTAACAGTATCTTCTTTATGGCTTATAGATTTTATTGTATTGCATATAAGTTTATTCAATAATCCAGTGCACCATGTTGAGTTTTAAAAGATTAAGCATACTTACAGTATTTTTTAAAAAGCTTTTAGCTAGTGGTTTAGAAATTTTCTACCCTACATGAGGTCAGGATAAATTAACTACACATATTTTATTAAATCATCAAAAACTATTTTGTATTCATTATATTTAACTTAATACATATAGATATAATTTTAGTTGCAGAACACGTGAAAGTGACAAACTAAATGGAATAAGTAAGAGTCAGGACTTCAGAAAACAGTGTATGTTAGTGTGGAGAAATTTCAAATATATTTAAGCAGACCTTAGCATACCCTTAAATTTAAGCATCCATCTGATCACAAAGAACAGGAAATAGCATGTAGCTCAGAGAACTGCAAGTAGGGAAGAGAATGGGAATATGCTATCACCTTCTTTTCCCAGCATAGAAACCAAGCAGGTTGTTAGAAATCTCTATAATAACTGTAGCTGCTGAAAGGCACTCAAAGCTTAAATCTCCTCTGCCAGCTTTCTAAACGCTAATAAACTTCTTTTTTGCAGGTTACTAATCTCTAAAACCTTATTTTGAAGACTGTTTTGATACATAAATATTGACTTTTATCCAACAATTTGCTTCCTTCTTTTGATATTCAGCACAATGTGTTCATAATGTTGCTTTGTCAAAAATTAATATAGTCAGCCAGTTGTATATTTAGCAATAAAAGCTTTTGAATAGTTTCAATATACATTTTAAAAGATCTTGCAGGGAAAATATTGTTTTTTCAAGTTTGCAGTCTGTTTGCTTCTTTTTATTTATCTAATTACAAATTCTAGTGGAATTTTTGTATATAAAAATTAGAACTGCAAATTTCTAGGCGCATGCTTACAGTTCTGCTGCTTGCTTCCATTTTGATGAACATGTCTAAATCATCCAATAGTTGCAAATATCAGAGTCAATAAAACAGGTATTTTGCTTTCAGTTAACATAATTTGGACATGTTTAGAAGTGGTCATTCACTATTTATGCTGTTGCATTCATATAAATATTGTGGTCCTCCACTTGCTAAATGGACATTTCACCTACTGAAATCAATGACCCTTTCAAGTACTAAGTTCAAGATTGGAATTTTTGATACTGTACATACATATTATTCACATTTATATTTTTTTCATTATACACTGTGCAGAAAATTCATGAAGAACTTGCAGTGAATTATCTACTTATTTGTGGAGTTTCTTTCCATTTTATATGTAAGGAGCATGTTTTCAGTTTAAAGCATATAGAAAAATGAAAGTACAACTCACATCACAATTAGACTAAAATTGGTGAAGTGCTGAAAGACTCAGGATAGAAAGATCTGAATTGGGGGTGGGGGCGAACAGTACTAGAGATGAGTGACACAGAACAAATAGGTTTGATGAAATACCAGGACTCAAACCTAATAATCTTGAAGAAATATAGGCAGATGAAGCTAACTGACAGTCCGGAAGAACTAATTTACCATCATAACCTAGGAGAAACAGAAAATGATACAAAGGCATTGAAACAAAATCAACATTTTGTTTCATTTCACAGATGTTAGCCTGAATAGAAGTAGTTAGCAATAATTGAAAAACCAGCGGCTACCAACAGGGTATGATGTTTGAAAAGTGGCAGAGATAATTATGCCATCTACTATTTTTCAGTCTAAATTAACTCATGTCATTTAAAGGTGACTATCCAAGACTAAATAAAGCCTTTTCTCTCAACTCTCATCCGGATGGCAAATCCTCTGGCTGCTGATGCCATGCACAATATATTCTTCATAAACCCAGTGTTGGTTGGTTTAACTTGACAATTTCCAATTAGTAACATCCATTTTTGAAGGATATGCATTGTGCATCACAAACTTTGATTTATTAGGATCTATTGTTTCTCCAATCCATTGATAGTGTCTTCCAGTTGCAGATGTATCTGTTGAGAGATTGGTGAAGGGGAAATGACAGTTGTATTGTCATCAAAGAATGTGAATATTTGTGTGAGTCATGATGAAAGTACACATTATATCATTTCTATAACAGTGCATTTACAATATTGATCTCATTGTGGCTTATTAAGGTGCCTATGATTTGTGAATATAAGAAATCAGCATGCCCCTTTTACAAAATATGTTCTATACTTTTCAAACTGTTTACAGTGCCAGTGGCTAGATCGTCATGTTCTGCTAATCCATAAAATAGTCTGTTGGGTTATGTTATAGCATATTATATGAACTCAGTCATTTTGGGTTGTTGTTTTTTTGTAAATCATACTAGCAACTTGTGTGAGCAAATTCAAAAAATATATGAACCCTATTAGTGTATTTGTTTTAATGATCAGTCTGATGTAAGATATCAATGGAGTAGGACACCTAAAACAGTGAATTATATTTTTACACTTTTACTATTTGCTGTATATTATTATTTGCATGTTGGAATGCACCTCTAAAATTATTTCTTTTTAGGTGTCTACAGTCCATAGAGACTATTTGCCCTATTGTACTAAAGTGATTCAAATTGTGTGCATCTGCTGTATATGCTTACCATATGAGCAAAGAAGTTGGTTTCTGGGTCTCAGTTTGCCCTCCTAAGAATATGACCATTCATTGATTAAATATTTTACTCAGTAAGATTCTATAGGTTGAATATTATAACTTGAAATTCATTTTTTGAAAGTGGCAAAAAATGTCTATATATTCTGTCATATCAAAATATGTTTTTGTCAGTGCATACGTCATTTAATTTTATTTTGTTATATAATCATATTTTTATGATTCATAATATTTTGGAAATGCAAAAATACATGATTACCAGTTTTCTGTCTGAAGTTAAATTATATTTACTTTGTTTTGAATTATAATCCTAAAGAAAGTTTTCTGTTCTAGAATATATCAGTGGAAATTTTATAAAGCAGCTTCATTGTTAAGTTTCTGAGACTGTATGGAATTCTACATTCATGGGCCTTTTATTTTTCTTTTCTGAGCAAGGAATTAATGTTCACACAGTGAGGAATCTGCTGCTTTCCTCAGACAAGAGAATGAGCAAATTCTGCACATAATTCCAGGCCATGGGTACTTCAGTGGTTATACATAGATTCTATTTCCTTATTAACTTGAGTAAGTGATAATGACATTATTTTTGAGAAATCACATTCTAGTGAATTGCAATTGCAATTACGAATAAAGAACAATTCTATGTATACCAGGTTTTCTACACTCCGCTGAGAATAGGGTGATCGCACAATGAGAGAATGAGCTAGTGTCTTAACACAGCTGGCTGACTCACTTAATGGTATAAATATTGATTGAATTATCCTAATGATGCTATTTCTCTAGCTCAGGGGTGACAAACCTTGGGCCCAGATGCGTCACGCGCTGGCCATGCCCACCCCTGATTTAACAAACGTGAGGACAATGTGAGGACACGAATTTGACACCCCTGCTCTAACTCAATTGCTTTGAGCTTTCAAGCCTAGAATTAAACCTGAGGGTTTTCAATCAGCTGACTTTTCTTCAGGATTGCAATGCTATTTATTAGATGGTTACAGTTTGAGGATTGTGTCCCTAAGCAGAATTTCTCTTGAAATCCTTCCATCTAAACTAGTGAATTTTAAATGTCTTTACAGTTACAAAAAAATTGCAGTCTCAGGTTCTTGCTTAGCAACTGGCTGATTTAATGAAGATACATGGTTAGTAACTGCACTCAAACCCAATTCATAGGGTAAAAATTTATTTCCACCTTATTGTATATCTGCAGTGTAAATGATTGCTATTTTAAATGATGTATGTTACAAGTTAACTAAAGTGGATCTCTCAGCTACTTGGAGCTGAGATAAAGTGTAAAATGTAGTCTTAAAATTGTAAGTGTAGGAGATCTGGACTCTTGCATTATTGTTTTCATTTTTTAAAATGTTCATTATAGATTGTGAGCTGTTAATCTTATTAGACTAAAAGAGAGACAGAATTTTAAATAAATCACCTGAACAAGCTGCATAGTATAATATTTGTATTTTGCCACTAAAGAGACAAAGCTTGTTGGATATAATATCTTTTAGATCTTGTTTTTGAAAAGAACATAGGTGAACTTGATAAGTTTAAATAGAGTAAAATTTATAGAACAATACAATGTAAAATATTTTGTGGAAAATTAGTTAGATTTAATAAGCTTTCTTTTTTTCTTTTTTGTAGTTTTTAGAAATGAGTCCATGATAACTGATACATTTTAGCTTTGATAACTCTGTATATAAAAATAAAATTATGTGACAATGGTTAAATAATTCTACCTTTGTTGAATGGGGATGCCAAGGAAAAAAACATTCTACTGTGCTTCTAGACACAATTTGTTCAGCAGAAGACATTTGATTGAGGATAGTCGCTGTTATACCAATGTTGTTAGCATAACACAAGAGGCAGTATAAAAGAGTAGCCTAATTGTTTAACTACAAATTAAATAACACATTCCATATACTGAGCTGACGTTTAAAAGCATCAGTTCCATGAATGATCCATGCTTTAATTTCAATAACAAATTATACTACAATAATAAATACTAGGCCACTGCTTGTGTATAAAGTTTTAGAGAAAAATTGTGGATTAAGGTAAGAATTGTTCATGTTAAGTCTTAGTTTCTTTTTGTTCTCTTATTATAAATTAAAAGGAGAGGAAGAAGTGAAATATTGATGAAACCCATTACGTGTTAATTATTATAGTATAGTATAGCGTTTATTGTCATTGTACAAAATAAATACGAAATTGGTTTAGAAACTGGGGCCATTGATGATTTTAAAAAATATGAATTGGATGTCTCTGCACCTAATTCTAGTTCAGCAGGGACTCAATGTGTTCAGAGATTCTTTCTAAGAGGACATACTGATTAAACCTGAGATACATGGATGTTTATTAAACTCTTGGTTTACAGTATTACAGTATTTAAAATATTGGTATTGACCAGTTTTTAAAATTATTTTATTCTGATCATTAGATGTTTTTTCTGTTTTCTTGTCATTAGCCCAATTTGAAAGCAATGTAATATAATTGTAGCCTTCCACAAAATCTGATGAATCACAAAATTATTCTCAGTTGGAAAAAAAAATTGACCTGAAGATAACATGGATTGCCACCGCTATAAAAAAACAAGTGAAACTTTGCCTATGAAATCAAACAATCCACAAAAGAGAGTGATTATGTATCACAGAACCAGCCAAAGATTAAGTTGTCTTCAATTGAAAAGATATTCCACCCCAAATATTGTTACTACTGAGTGTGTTGTGAGTGGAAAAAGTCATGCATACCTTTCTGAGCAGAATCTTCCAAGACTTTATAAATGGATCTGAACTCTCCAGTGCGATATAAGGAAGAATTATAGCATCTAATACTTTTACAATTTGGTGTATGTGCTTAATGGGGCTTTTATATTATGTTGTTCAATCTAGAATTGTTTTCTCTGTTCTGTTAAACACAACCCTTAGAATTAAGCCATTAGAACTCTTAATATGAGATGGCAGCATATTAAATAAATGAATAACATCAGAATGATTCTGTCCCAATTAAGTCACTTTTATATCAAAATCCATTTATGATTTTTGAATAATTGCAATAAAAGTTTCATCAAATTAAAAATTTGCACTTTCAGTGGAGCATTACATGTAATATGCGATTGTACTTTGTTCTTCAGTCATGTCCTGCTTTTTTGGATAAGAGCATCCTCAATCTAAAACTTCTTCAACAGCTGTTTTTCAAAGATGCATAAATTGATGGAACATAGTTATTGCTGTTTAAAGAATCTGTGTTTCTTATTCAACTAGGTGATGTTAGATCAGTTTGCAAAGAAACAGCATGGATCAAACTACATATATTCTTCCAATATTACATCAAAAAGTTATTTTAGAGTATCCATGCTATATTATAGCTACATTCTGCAATAATGACAATGCTGAAATTCTGTGAACATTTATTACAAGTAGTTTTGTTAAGCAAGGGTAGAAATGTACTGTATGAAACAATAACATTTATGGCTAGATATGAACTTGTTTTATATTACAACTTTTGAAATATTATATATTATAAAAATATTGGTGGGCTGCTTGGACTAATTATATACATATCTCAACATTACTTAAGTGTCTTTATTAGTAGATGTCATTAATTATAGAGATTTTAGGAAAGTTTCATTAAATATTTGAATGTTTAAGAAAATATGTGCAGAAATATCATAATACAGTTCTGTGTGACTTGTCATACTTTTCTGTGTCATGGAAATAGTCTATTGACAAGCAAAAGATTGAAGAAGATATGCAAATGTATTCACCTCCTGTCAATTTTAAAGCAGGATTCCTTGATGTAACAAATGGACATAATTGGGAAGCAGGGGGGAAGTGATACCACATATATGACAGTAAACAAATTATTCAAATTATGTAATTAACGATGAGAATTGATATTATGATACATTTGATGTGGTTTCTGTCAAATACATAGGGTAATACAACATTGCAGTTTATTTTCATTCTCACAGAAATTTAGAGCACAATCCTTTAAATAATTGTTGAGAACAAACCTTCCTTAGTTGAGTTTAACACACCAAATATGTGTAAAAGAAGCAGCCAAATAAGAGGGTTAGTGTTGCTTGTTAAATAGATTTTATATTTAAGTAATACAATATAGATGAATTGTTGATAAAAAATGAGATGTTTAGATTTGCTGTTTGAGACACAGATATGGAACTAGATATTTTTCTGTTTATAAGGTCAAAAACCATGTGCATATAGTTGAAGATAAGTATCAGAATGAAAAAATACTATCAAAACATTTCAAAATCAGGAATATAATTTTTTATTTTAATTAGATGAAAAGCATTTTGAAATAAAGTATGTCTTCATATATTTTAGGCACCCATCTCAGCTTTACTTTTATAAACTTTGTAACATTGAAATGTAAAAATAAATGCAAAATCTTCAAGTAAAGTATATTAAATTGACAACACAAAGTTTCCGTGTCTGATTTTATCACTATTTGAATTGTAGTTAGTATCGCATCAACACAAGTAGAAACATTCTAACATGTTATAATACATATTTTGTTCTTTGTTTAGGGAGATTTCTATAGTAGGTAAGTAAAGGCAGTTCTTTATGTGTTCAAACACATAGAGCACGAGAGATCATGGGCTTCTTGTTTACTGAATTCAAAGTATAACATCCAAAGTGAAAACCACTGAATTTCCAGCTGAATATATTTTGCCACACATTTCCCAAATCATATAGCAATAATTTGTATATATGCAACTAATTATTGCCTTTTCTTCAAAACATAGTTAACCATAGTCATCAATCTCAACAGAAGTATTTTGTTGTTGATGGAAATGAGATTCACAGTTTATTATCATGAAAAGCTCAGAATTTTGACTTCAGATTTATTAGATAATCCCAAATATTACATATTTATTTTCTTCAGACATATTTTTTTTTAGATCTCCACCATTTATCCTCTTTTTGGCTTTTTTTCTAAATTGAAAATCCCTTTTTGTGTAGCTACAACTCCCTCCCTATTTTTCCCCTCCCTCCATTTTCTTACAAATCTAAGCCTGCATGTAGATAATCAGCATTGTTGATGGCGTGATCATTGGTTATAAAGTACATGTTTCAATATCATATTCCTTTAGGAGAGCAGTATATCATTATTTTCTAACTGGCAGAAGTTCTGAAAAGTATTTCCTGATATGCTTCCAATTTATTTATTTGTGGAGCTTAATACTAGTAACTGTAGAAGCAGCAGAAACATAAACGGCTAAACCAAGATGGTTCTTGGAAAATTGCATTCACCTCTGGTTTTAGAAGTTATCTAGTCAGAGCTAAAGAATTTCTTGGGTAAGAAGTGAAACATCTTCAAAGAAAACGCAAAAAGTCCTGTTGCTTCTTGAAAAAACACCTTTGGGACAACTATTACCTGGATGACAGAGTCTCCATAGACAATCTGGTTTTAGACTAAGAATTCAGTATTAAATCAATATTTAATTATTACAGATGTTTTAAAAAATGAAAGAACACCATCAACTTGCTACATAGGAAACACTAGAAAATACTATTTCTTCCTCTGCAGATTCTACAGAAGAGAATATCTATATCTCAGGTTTGAACTTTGGAGTCCTTGATACTTTGAGCTGGATTCTTTGCTTGTTGACATGATAATATCAATACCAGTATATGCAGCTGGTTTGCTCCCAGTTTCTATACAGTACTTTGCACTGCCATTGTTGTAGGTATTGTTTTCTCATTAGTAGCTTAATTAGGGTATTATATTCTGATGGATTGTTTGGTCTTAATTCCTGCATATTGAGTGTAGACTGCTAGAATGAATGTATTCTTGTCTTTGTTTCCTTCTTAACTTTTTATAGTCTCTTGAGTGGTGTGTAAATGTCATTTATGATTATGGTTCCACTGGTAGCTGATTGTCTGAAATTCCCTAATGTTTTTGGATTTGTCTTTGTCTAGGATAGTCAAAGTTGAAACTACGGGTAAGTCCTCTTGGACTTCCCCCCAAAATGGTATGCTGAATGGCAGACAATTTTTTTCCCTTTCATCAAAGAATGGCTGATTTTGCCGCCAATGCTGGATATTTGGCAGCTTTGCTCTCCAGCTATTGGAAGATTAAGGAGTTTTCATTGCATCTTCTCACCACTAGCTGATTTTCATGGATGCCCTCTGCTAGTTTTCTCCTGCCTGTCGTACATTTGACTTTATAGTATTCACATAGTATATTGCAAATGAGTCCTGTTAGGCTATTTAATTAGTTAGTAATGCCATCTGGTACATCATAGACAGCCTGAAGGAGCAATTGGAACAAACCATGACCAAAGTAAACACAAAAATGCTGATAACTATCATCAAGACTACATTTCTAAGACCAGCTGAAAGAAGAAAAACAAAATCCCAAACTATTCAAACAACAAACAAAGATATAACATGAATCCAAATAGCCTACAAATCCCAAAAGAAAAGGAATGAAAAGCAAAGGGCCCAGCCTCCCCTGCTTCTAAGGGCATCCCAAAATACATAAGCCCAATCTTTATCCAATTGTATCATTACCCAAAATGAAAATGAAACAATTCCAAAAAGGCTTTGACAGCTCAGAGAGGGGACTGAAAATTCTATCAAATATATAGTTATCTCCAGAATATCCAAGAAATAAGCAAATCAGAAACATCCATGGATTCACCATTTCCCAACTCATAACAGAAATCATAATGCAATATCTAAAAACGAGCACTTCTACATAAAGAATCAAAATGTGGATGGTTCCACCACAAAACCCCGGTAGACAAAAGTGCGCTCGACGAACGCGCGTACGTGACATCATCACAGCGCGACGAAAACATCGCGCTGTGATCGATAAATGTAAAAATAAAGCGAAAACCTTACCCTAACCACCCAAACCTAACCCTAAACCTAACCCTTAACCTAAGCCTAAATGTAACCCTAAACCTAACCCTTAACCTAACGCTAAACCTAACGCTAACCTTTAACCTAACGCTAAACGTAAACCTAATGCTCTAAACCTAAACCTAACCCTTAACCTAAACCTAAACCTAACCCTTACCTTTATGTGAATCGGCTTGCTTTAATTTTATTTTTATTTCAATTTTTAATTTTTTCCGTCGCGCTGACGTCAAATGCGCGCTTTCGTCGAGCGTGCTTTTGTGGACCGCGGTTTTGACGGGTCATGAATGTGGATGACATTAAAATAAAATAAAAAAACACAGAGAAGAGAGGACACGTGGAACAACCCAAAACATCTTTGAACGAATAAAATTCACAAGGGAAGGAGAAAACAACATACTAGTTTGCCTGGATATCCTCATCAGCAGGGGAAATGATGGCACATCAGAAATGTAAGTCTGTTAAAAAACAACATACACTAACCAAGTACTCTGTTAAGGAAGTAACAATCCAAATCCAAAGAGGAACTGTGTAGATGACTGCAAATCCACAGCAACCTAAAACACCAGAAAAACAAAGAAAATTGATAACCACACATTTTTTCAAAAAGTGCCAGGCAACTCAACCCATTATGGGGCAATCAAAACAAGCTATATATAGGATAAAAGTTTCATCAAAAACATCTCTGAAACAATTAACAGACTACTATAACCATGATCAGCAAATGAAATATGAACTGTTGTCTCCTGCAACCACCATTCACCTTTTGTTTCTATTTATTCCCTAGCCAGGGAGGGATCATTCAGCGTCCATGTGTGCCTTTCTTCCTGAGTCAGCCCCTGTTCCTCAGGGGTTCTCCTCTCCTGATAGCTCTGCCCCTGCGCGCCTCTGGAACAGGCCCCAGCTGTTCTTCCCCACTTATCTCTCACTCCAAAGGCAGTTGTGAAATGCCGGACAGGCCTGGCTCTCTCTCTCTGCTTCCAACACAGCACATCCATTAGAGCCTTCCCCAGACTCCAGGACTGGCCCAAGTTTTTCCATAGCTGCCTCATCATCTGAGTTTGGTAGGCCACAACACCCTGGGAGGCCTAGCAGAAGCCCAGGACTACCTGCTCCAAGGCCTTAACCAACCCCATCCCATACACTGCTCAACAACCTCAATCCTGAGGGGCATAAAACTGCATGGTCTGCTTTACATCCCTCAGGATTGAGGATATTGAGCAAAGTAGTTATATGAAATCTCAATGAGAGTTTTATTCAACAAATGAGATTTTGGTACACTTGTTATTGTAAGTTGGAGTCTATCTCAAAAGCCCAAGAAGAAAAAAGTCATCTACAGCAAACATACAATATAAGGACTATAAAAGCCACCATGTAGAAAAGATGGCAGAATTTTAGCATCCATCATCATCAACAACAATCATGAACACTAAGTAGCAGTGAGAAGACACTGAAAACAAATTTAAATAGACACAACTAGAAATGACCCATGACAACCCTCAGATGACTGTGGGAAGAAAAAGATAGACAATTGCAATTTTCAGTAAAAGCGGGTGGAGAACTGGGTCTGGATTTTGCATTTTACTTTTGTATATATCTCATAGTTTTTTCCTCTCTCTTTTTAAAGAGATTGGAACGTTTCCTGTTTCTTATTATATCAATCTTTCCTCCAGTCAAAACTATATTTTGTTGTGAAAGTCTACCCATAAGACAGATTTGGACTATATTAAAAATAAAAACAAGAACAAATTTTGACTATTATACATTATATATTCTTTACAAAGTCGCTATAATACTAACTAAAGCTTTTTCATCCTGGTACTGAAAAGTTAATAAGATCTAAGGCCCTGCTTATTCACTATGCAGTACCGTCTAATATGAACATAAATAGAGAGAAAAATGAACACTGCCAGGAGGATGAATCCACAAGTCTTCAATATTTGTCCCTGCTTTTTTCTGAAAAGAACAGAGAAAAGACAACAGCTCATTAGGAAATCTTTGCTAATTCACTCTGCCCACTAGCCTTTCATTGGCTGGGTATTTCCAAACTTTATCATCTGCATTCAACTGAATCATGTTAAGAATTGTAGCCCAATGTATCTCAAGGGCATCAAATATAGTCTGATCCAATGCTTCTCAACAGGCCATCAGAGAGAGAGAGCTCATTCCTGATATATTTTGGGATCTACTGTGATGGGAAGTTAAGCATCATCAGGCTGAAAGGAGGACGGTAGTGGTCTCAAAGAGCAATAATCAGATCACTTTGTGAAAGAACATTTAATCAAATGGTATTAACCATAGAGTGGCATAACTCACAGGAAAGAATGAATTAACAATGAACCTTTCATTTCCAATCCAGACATTTGAAAAGATAGGGACTTTTCAAATATTTAGAGGGAATGGAAGAGAAATATATTCAAAACAGATGAATTAAATATCTATGATTACAGCCCACATTAGTTAGAATAAGTCATACCTGCAACACAAGATCAGCTTGTCTAGTTTATTCCTTAAAGTCTGGAAGTCATGAGGGTAAATAAAAACAAGTGA